AGGTTTAGAAATCTCTGGCGACTTTGAAGTTCATCTTGTAATTGCCCAATTTCGGCAGAAATTTCCGAAAGCCTGTTTGCAGTTTCAGCATCCATGGCCATACGTGCTACTACTAAAATACTAAAATTCTTTGATTTGGATTTGATGGAGTGAAGTGAAGACACTTATCGAGCCTCCATTTATAGAGTGATAGAGGAATATCGCAGTACGAATTGCATGGCTGGCACAATTCTTACTAGTTCTCCGCACTACTTTTCTGCAGTTGAAGACTATCATGCCTGTTTAATGAAAAACTGGCTGGCTCTGGCTACCTTTCGGAGCAAACAAAAGATCCCCAAATCACACTGCCTGTATGAACAAACAAACTTTGTACAACCAGCTTACGTGGAGAAGATTCTATATTCTATGCCAATAGACTCGTGACATCCATGTACTGAGTCGTCAAATGAGCCACGTTAAGAAAGCCCAAGCTTATACGCATTGGCCCACGGGGTGCCCATCTTCAAGAAGGCCCGAATGAAAGACCCAAGCCTACATGAACCATCACAAAGAAAGTCCTACAAATGAAGACTCGGGCCTGTTTCGATGAAACCTCGATGAAAGCCCACAGAAGGGCCAAAGCACAACAAGCCTACCCATCATCAAAGCAAGCCCAAGCCCATGCAAGAATGACCTCATTGTCATGGAAGCCCTTTCCTTACTCCTCAATATAGTCTAGGATAACGTTTTTCTGACCAACTCTCATGGCTTTAGGAAAAGGCCTAACTTCTTTTCCTAAAGCCCCAACCACCAGGACCGGAGAAGCAGCATCTGAGAAGTCAAGTCTCATCCCAAGAACGGGGGTACTTTACATAGCTATGAGAAGCAGAGAGGGAGATCACTCCTTGGTTACTCCTAATTTCCTAATGCCCAAACCACCAAGAGCTGATTCTCGGCTTGGCTACGCTATTCTATTAAGGTCTTGGCTTGTGAAGGAGGCAGGGCTCCTAGTACTAGTTAGGAATGAATATCCGTAGCGAAGAGGGATTTGAACATAAGCAAATCCTTTCATAATAAGGAAGTGGGAGAAAAATCCGTACTACGATTTCTGGGAAGGAAGACCAAGTTCAGTCGGAACCGCAAGGGAGCGAAGTCACTGCTTGTGTTTTTAGGGGGAAGAGACGAGCGAAAGGCTTCCATGCTGAACAGCCTGGTATGAAAGAAAGCTAGAACGTAGAGTACACTAGGAGAGATTGTCTTATATAGAAGAAGCTGTTAGGAAGAATCAGCTGCAGATGTTAGAAACTGAACTGTACTGCTGCATTCCGTAAAGCAAGATCTAATCCTGCTGCCCGTACCGCTATCCCTTCTCCTGGCAAAGTCCTATTCGGGGTGTGAAGGAAGACGAGGCGGATCCTTATAATAGTCTTCCACGACCTCTCTATCTGTAAAGGTAAAGTACCCTTGAGATTCGACTTTCCTTGCCAACTGATCCTTCATTGGCGTAAGGAGGTGGTGACTAGCTTGAAGGTGGCGAAAACTCCTGGTTGAATCAGTTGCATGTCGTGCAACTATAAGAAAAAGAGGATCAAGGCAGCTTTTAGCTCTTTGAACGAGTCCGGTGCTACGGAATTCCTCTAGTCACATGAAGGTGGGATCCTTTCTGCTCTTCCCGCTGTTAGACTAAGCCTTGCTAGTCGTTTCGGAAACAAGTCTTTTTGCTTCCCTTTCATCAGTTGACTTTGCTGCTATCATAGATAAAGAAGATCCCCCCTGAAAATGAGATTCTTTTTCTGTCTCTGTGCTAGGTCTTCATTATGGGTCTGACTTTCTTCTTTCACATCTTTGGGACTTATCCGCGGCCTTAGGCCGAGAAATAGGTAATAGTCTTGAAGTAAGGGCGAGAAGATAAGATCCCGTCCCCTTTCTTAAGTCATTTCTAGAAAGGAATCCAATCCTCTAGCTAGGTTTTCAGGAAGAACTGCAGTTGGAAGAAGGACATTCATTATCTTAGGAAATGGCGTAACCGCAGCAATTGAATCTGCAGTGGCAAAGTGGTCAGTGGTCCTTTCGTATAGAAATACGTTGTTGAAATTCCTCCTATTGTCACATCGACTCTGAACTCTATTTACGCTTAGCCGGGAACAAGATCTTTGTTTCAGCAGAACTGATTTAAGCTAGTGGGACTATAGTTTCTGTTTGGCAACTCGGAAGTAAGGTAGCTTTAGTGAAGTCTGGCAGAAGTACTAAAGTATGTAGCAAATGTCGGCATATCAGCATCCGTGCAGGTAGTTCAAGGCTGAGGTCAAGCTATGGGCACAAGGAGGTAAGGTATAGTAAGTTCCTTCTTTGTCTTTTGCTTGTCATTGGATTGGAAGCCGCAGGCGATGCCTTCTTGCTTGTGTAGTTGGCCTTGCCTGCTTAGTGCGGAAGTGCGTAAAGTAGGCTCAGCTTCTTTGGTTCAGTCTTTGGTAGTAGGTGCGATATTGAAGGAGTTCAGGGCTAAGGGCTGGAGCTTTATTCCCACTCCCAGTAGTCTGTCTTCAGTAGTTCGCTTGGAAAGTAGTCTTTCATAAGCAGGAGCGTAGCGCTTCGCAGGTGAAGGTGCAGGATTTGCTTCTTCCCTTTATAGTGGCTTCTGTCATTTTCACATAAATGTTATAATCCTATCTCTACTTCTGCTAACGAACGCTAGAATTGGGATATCGAGAAAGAAGGTAGACCGTAGAAGGTTCAACAAAGAAAAGCAAGAATAAGCCCGGTTGGGCTTACGTTTTTCAACTGCATCGTACCGTACTATGGGAGGGGTCCGTACCTCCTTTAGATAGATAGGCCCCCGTGCTCCTAATGTAGAGCTAGAACTACTGCTACCGTGGAATCCGCGATCACACATGAGTACCTCGCCTTCCAAAAAAAAGCGGCTGCTAATTGGCACTAATGCTAATGGGGACCATCGATCAAGAAGGACTTCGGAGACTGCAATCAAATTCAATATATATATAATGGGGCCAACTCTTCTAGTTGCGCCTCTAACCTTACTACGCTTCCCAACCAGCTGATAAAAGGTCTAATTCAGCAGGGCTACAGGCACGAAATGCCGATCCTTCCCGTTAAAGGAAGCCTAATCAAAGCAGGCAAACAAGAAGATCTGACTGAGTTGATGATGGATCGGATCTCGAAAGGCGAGAGACTTTCATAAAGACGTATGAGAAAGGGAGGGTCGAGAGAGGCTTATTGCACGATCCACCCAACTCAGCTAAGCTAATAAATGCTGCATAAGAGAGTGGGAGGCCGGCCCCTGCCTATCTGGAGGTGCACACCCATTTAGGAATATATGCAAAGGGGTAAAGAAAGAAGTCAATGGAGAACTACCAAATCCAAGAACTCTGATTTGTTCGTACCATTCTGTCATCGATCACTGCTGGGTCGGTTGGTGAGTCACCCAAAAAAAAGCATCGAGAAAGGTCAAGCATATATGTTTTATGAAATGATCAGCGGTCTCATTTATGCTATGCCCTGCATCGTGTTCGTGTGTGTTTATTGAGCTTTCTTCACTTCAGCGCCATGCGCTTTGCTTCGCTTTATAGAAGAGAGAGACCGTTGTCTTGAGAGGCAAGCGCAAGCGATAGAAAGGATAGTCCCTCGCGCGTTCGCGCGAACTACTAGAAAATGGTGAGATCATTAGTGAAAGAAGGACCAACGACGATCCTATCCTAAAGGAGAAGGAGGAGTCAGTCTTCTTTGAAGATCGAGGAATAAATCGGACAATTATGCCATTCGGAAGAAGTCTTCTACAAAGGGAAAGCCTGTATCGAGTAAGTGGAGAGGAAAGATCTCCAGAGATTCTTATCTCATTCCATTCCAGTGGCTCGACCAGTAATCAATGGCGAAAACTAAAAAATCCATGGTTTCCCGGTAGAACCCCATTTCGCCCAAGTTGTTGCGGAACCGGAAAAAAGAAGCGGTTTTTCGCACAGCTTGCTCATAGTGCAGGTCCCACTTGTATATCGTATTTGGCCGAAGAAGCATCGGACAGGTTGGAGTTCTTACCTTCTTGGGACTCCATGGACCAAGATCTGCTTTCATTATATGGGCAATACCGATCTACTTTAGTAGATCATATGGATGTAGAAAAAGCTTCTGATTTTGATGAATTGGAAACATCTCTTTTCCATTTCTATTTACCTAGTTCATATCTTTGTTTCGTGTGTTCCCGGGAGGAATTCGATCTCTTCAATCTCGGGATACCACCTAAATAACTGCGGCCAAAAAGTCAAATAGGTCGGGAAGAAAGAGTCTGAGGTTGGGTCGGACGACATACATCTTGGTTGGTTCCACCACCAACTTTCTTTATGTGAGTTTTTTTTACCCTTAGATTCTCCAAAAACATCTTTAGCCACTCTTTTAATGCAATTGGCCATCTTATACCACATCACAGAGGTTTCTTCCTATAAATTCCATTTCCCTTCCTCGTTATAAAGAGAAAGTCATTTGGCATACCCGCATGGATTAGATGTCCAGATAAACCCCCCGACCTGGGAAGTCTTTCGACCTCACTCACTTGATCAGCAGATGGGAAGCTTGAAAAAGTCTCTTTCCTTGCTGTTATACCTTTTGCGAGGGCCCTTGCCTACTTCTTCTTTGCCAGCGGGATTTCCCAGAAAGAAAGCATCTTCCTATTCTAGTAATCCAATCCCTCATAAGCATATGATAGAAGCCCCCCAAAAGAAGAGCAGGAGCATACTAGAATAGTGCTTCAAACCAGGTGGCTCTTAAAACCTTTCCTCAAAAGTCAGATAAAAAGACCCTGGGTAGCCCTCCCCTAAGTGGCTTATGTCTACTTGGGACCAGAGATTAGCCTTTTCCAAGAGCCTTATCAAGGTCTTTTGCTTCCTTTTTGATTATGTGATACTCCGAAAGCTCTACGGCAATAGAAAAGATGAGATAAAACTAAAACTTACCCTCGAAGGCTTAAAAGATACTGCAGGCTTTCAAGCAGATTGATATTGATACAGATTACTTTTACACAGGTGAAACTGGCCTGGAACTAGCTAAAGCTAAAAGAGATTACTTCAGGGCTTAACAAGTTTCATTCTAATGGCTTTAAGATAAGGCTCTCTTGCTCACAGTAACAGATGGATATGGATTATTATAACTAGTGGAAAGGTTTCCAACTATAGATCTTCTTGTATTGCCCATTCGAAAAGCGAGACGAAAGAGGGAGGGACATTAGTGATTCCCCTACTCAAAATCTAGCAATGTTCTCGAATAAGCTGTTTTCAGGAATTGAATCAGAGTACGGAGGTGCGGCAGGTGGTATCGTATAATAAGATCACGGCTGCATTTAGGAGTGATCCGCGCATCTAACTATCAATTTCTTATAATAAGAAAAAGAGATTCGTCTTGCTTATTTGCTTGATTATTGAATTGAGTGCGCGGGAAATGCTTTTGACTGAACCTCCCATTGTTCTTTCTCTGATAGCATGCAGCCGGACAGAGATATAGTTTGTGTGCAGTGAGGGATCTTTCTAGGTAACCAGTCTTGACTTAACTCGACCCAAGCAATGCCCAAAGACTCCCATGCCTTTCTTGGTTTTACAAACCCAACCGGCGATTTCGGACAAGTCTTTCTTCATTTTTAGAGCAAAGAGCGATAGAAAAGTGGGCTGTGGTGATGTCAGAATTTGCACCTATTTGTATATATTTAGTGATCAGTCCGCTAGTTTCTTTGATCCTACTCGGTCTTCCTTTTCCATTTTCTTCCAATAGTTCGACCTATCCAGAAAAATTGTCGGCCTACGAATGTGGTTTCGATCCTTCCGGTGATGCCAGAAGTCGTTTCGATATACGATTTTATCTTGTTTCAATTTTATTTATTATCCCTGATCCGGAAGTAACCTTTTTCTTTCCTTGGGCAGTACCTCCCAACAAGATTGATCCGTTTGGATTTTGGTCCATGATGGCCTTTTTATTGATTTTGACGATTGGATTTCTTTATGAATGGAAAAGGGGTGCTTCGGATCGGGAGTAATCACTAGTGATAGGGAAAAAATCGGGGGGAAGGACAAAGGAAAGAGCGATGCCTACATTAAATCAATTGATTCGTCATGGTAGAGAAGAAAAACGGCGCACGGACCGTACTCGAGCTTTGGATCAATGTCCCCAGAAGCAAGGAGTACGCCCGCGTGTTTCAACAAGAACACCGAAAAAACCTAATTCAGCTCTACGTAAGATAGCTAAAGTACGGTTGAGCAATCGACATGATATATTTGCTCACATTCCGGGCGAAGGTCATAATTCGCAGGAACATTCTATGGTCTTAATAAGAGGAGGTAGAGTGAAAGATTCGCCAGGTGTGAAATCCCATTGTATTCGAGGAGTCAAGGATTTGCTGGGAATTCCGGATCGAAGAAGAGGCAGATCAAAATATGGTGCGGAAAAACCCAAATCGATATGAATGGAAGATGCCTCTGGCCCAATCCGATCACGCTTTTCTTTTTTTTTTTCCGGT